CCCTGGTGGGCTGAGCTGGCCACACACACACCCCACACTCTCTCTCTCTCTCTCTCTCTCTCTCTCTCTCTAATAAATAAAAATTTAAAAAAATAAAGAAACATTTGTGAATAAAAGACAAAAGGATGAGCAAATTTAGAAGTATCTGTAATCTCCCCATGGAAGTGCTGATAGAACACTCAGAGAAGTGAGGAAGTGGTGAACTATCCTCTCGGGCCCCCCCTCCTGTCCCTCTCTCTCGGGACAGGAGCTTTCTTTCTCTCAATAAATATATTCTGCTCATAAAAAAAGAAGCGAGGAAGATATGCCAAGTAGAAAAACGTCCAAGCTAGCTTTAAATGGAAATGAGAAGAGAGGAAGTGGAAGGCAATAAAGATGACGTTGGATTTGGCTAGTCTCTTCTGAGAAGCCGCTGAATACAAATCTACAAGCCGGGATGAGGTTACTTATCAAGACGTTTGAAAGCCAGGCAAATGATTAGTATCCTCTCCTTGTAAAATTCTTTCAGTTATTAGAAAGACCATAATTTAGAACCTACCTGACTTAATTGTTTATTTCTTCTGTCTATAAAAGGATTCTTTAAGTCACTTTGGTCAATCTTTGATGTGAATTTTTAAGTTGTGAATACAGGATTCTACATTATTGTATTTAAGCTTCATTCATACTTATTGAACTTTGCAATGATTGACAATCACAGTGCTCTTTTGCTTTAATTTAACTATTTAAATTTATCAGTTTTGTATAAAAGAGTATAAAAATATGTAACAAGTGTGGGTCTTTTAATTTTATAAATAATAAATACTGAAGTCAACATATAGATTTTGCTATTTATTACTTAGTTAGAATTCCTTTTCAGTGAGCACAATAATAAATTGCAATTTTTAAGAAACTAAAATGATATACTTAAAATCTGTGACTTCATCTTTTAACTCCATGTTTCATAAGATTGCTACGTATAACCACTTTATTCAACCCTGGGGGATTTAATAGGATTAAAGACTTCTAATTCATTTTGTATTTAAAAATTTCTTTTCCTCCATCTTTGTTCAGCTAGTGGACTCCATGATGAATTTCCATCTCCCAGGGGTAAGCTGTTTTTAGTAAAGCCCAGTAGATACCTTATGATTCCTTAGCTATAGCATTGCTTCCTTCTTTTCCTTGTGTTTTGTTTTTGACAGTATAACAGAATTCTTGTAGACAAAATTCTCATGCTTAAGTACTCTTAAGCATGTAATGGTTTTAGTTTTGTTCGTGTAAGTTGTTTATATAATAATTATGTAACTTTATATCAGACAAGTAAATAATCATAATTAGTTTTCTATTTTTTAAGTAGGACTAAAACTGGAATGAAGCAGTCCAATAATAAAAGAGGGGCCAGAGATCATATGAAGATAAAGACTAGAGAGTAGGTACAATGTATTTGAAATAATAACATCTGGTAGGGATAATGTAAGGGGAGTATAGAGAGGAAGAGGGAGAGGGACAGAGATAGAGACAGAGACAGAGAGAGACTGAGATTCTTGCTGGAGATCAAACCTGGAAGCTTTTGCATTCTCGGCAGACATTCTACCTCTGAATTGTACTGCCAGATATTGTATTGATATTTTGGAGGTAGCTAGTTTGAGTAATGATCAGCGCTAAGGTGTTCTTTTCACTTTGGGGTCGTTCCATACCATAGACATGAAAGTCAGTGTATTTCAGAACTTGCACAATTGTCAAGTTGAAAAAATAATGATAGCAAATAGAGTACACTTAAAAAATACAAAATGAAAAGGAACCACTGTTGTCATTGTAAGCTTGTACTCCATTCATTAGCAAGAAAGCCTTTTAGTTGCTGTTTTTATGTTATCTTAGTAGAAAATACTTGCATCTATTCCACCTTAAAATCCTGTCTTGTAATCCTGGAAATGAAACTAAAGAAGTACGTTCTCATTCTGCTATATGGAGAAACCACTAAATAAAGAGGACATTAGTATCTTATAAATTCCAAGAAGAACACATTTTTATTTTCCAGTTTGTTTTTGAAAAGGATATTTGTGTTGACCAGTGAATGGGGTAAAGGATAGAAATTTGATTCGAAAGACATTAGAGGTACACACTTGTATTGTAGTTGCGAATCTCTTTTTAAGGAGGCTGCTTCAAAGGCTGTCATTAATAATCTTCTCAGGTGCTTACAAAGCATGTGTCTGTCATCAAAATTAGAGAATCACCCAACTAGAGAACAGGTTTCAAAATACCCTGAGACCTATTTTGTTCATTAGAGAGGAAAATGGCTTGTTTTAAGTTTAAATTGACATGCTTGCTAATTTCAGTAGTAAAAGCTGTTCATTGTGGTCAGGTTTAATTTAAAGTCTGGGAAGGTTCTGATTAAAGTTGATGGAGTTACTTTTACAACATACTTCTCAAATGAACTTTGAAGTCTTAAAAGAAGAAAAGAAAAACAAGTATAGCGAACACTGAATAAACTACCTAAAAATGGAAACCAGAGAATAGTCTGATTATTTCAGTGTCAACAAATATTAAACCAAATAAATGTAAGCTAATAGTTTTATATAGAAGTATTATGTTTTAAACATTAATCAGAGCTTTTATTTAAATCGTACATGATATCAAATACTTGTGTTCAATGCTACATTGACAGCCCCAAGAATAACATCTAGCACTTGAAAAATACCTATTAAGATGAACAAATGAGTGAGTGAATGAGTTTATATAATTTGCTGCCTACATGTATTTAAAAGTTTGTATTGAATTTGAGGTAGATATTTTACTTTTTCTGAAGTTTCTGCATACATCTATCTTTTAAACATTTTTATTTTATTTTTTCCCATAATTTTATTGAGAGCAATGAGACAGTTTCAAACCAAATTGATAGGACAGTTTCAATAATTAACACATTGTATACATTCTTCCTAGTGGTTAATCGCTGTACAAGAGAAATGCTTTTATTGAATGTATTCAGACATTTGAGAGTAACCAGTACCAAAGCAATTCTTCAGCTTACTGTGTCACAGATGACCAGAGTGTAACATTCCAACCCTGGAAAACATCTTATTTTGTAAAATCTGTCTGCCACTATACGCTTCCAACTTTAAAATTTGTTCAGTACTCTCCAACTTACTTATGCTACTTACTTCAATAGCTGTCTTTGGCAATTTGTTCCATATTTCAAACACACTTTTGTGTAAAGAAACCATAAAAGTTAGAAGCCTGAAAATTGGATTTTTCTTCTGAGCAATCACAGCTTACAAATGTGGAAAATTTCTTAAAAGTTAGCCCCTCCAATTTTTTGATACAGAGAGGAAAAACTGCTCAAAATAGATGTACAATGTTTGGATAAGTTTCTCTTGTTATTTAAATGTTACAGAAAGCAATTGAGCTTAAATCACAAAGCCTATCTCCCTATATCTTCACAAAAAAAACACTACAGAATGATCAAATTTTGGCCTTTCCAAAGATAAAAATCCATAGAAAATCAGTAGGAGTCAAAGGGCAGAATCAATAACTAAGTTTCATAAATATTACTACCACCCACAGTTCATCACTTTCATCATCTTCTGATAGTAGAAAGACCATCATATTTAAAATCAGACAGAATTTCTGGCAGCATTAGTAGTGTGGTTATTAAGACATCAAAAATGAGGAAACATTTAAAACATCTATGACACAGTGGCTATGACTAAGAAAAATATTAATTTTACTTTCCCTGGCTAAAACTTGTGCAATTTTAGAAACAGAACAAGATAGATATATTATTTCTCACAATTTTCTTTGGCTAGACATCTCTGGGATTTTTGCGTTTTAGTTCAGAGAAACTAAGGTAACAGATGCAAGAGACAGATGCTTGAGGAGCAGAGGGATTTCCCAATGATTAGCACTGCTCCCTATAAATTAAAAAGTTGTTGGTTTTATTCTATCTGGTATTTTTGTCTAAAGCACTATTATAATCATTTATACTACAGAAAATAAATACTAATGTCTATTCTGGTGCTTTCCAAAATTGCCTAATCATAAAAGTTAAGCAGGGAAGTTATTAAAGCACAGATTCCCAGAGCGTCATTGTCATTCGCCTAACTCATTAGGCCCGGAATAGGGAAATAGAGTTGGATGATTCTTAAGGACAGACAATTCTGAGGAAACACTGTTCATGTTCAAATACTTTTCTCTTTTTTCATATGAGTAATCACAGGTACAAAAAGTTAACTAATATCTCTTAAATCAGTTCTCTGTTTCTATTTCTAAAATTAATATATACCTTAATTTTGACCCCCTATAAAATGAGATTTCAACTAGACCCATTTTTTTTCTTTTATGTATGTTGCCATAATTTGGAATTACATATTTTTTAATTACATTTCTTATGTAATGACTTAAGTATATCAAAGTACTCTGAAATTACTCCATCTGAGCTCTACGACATGGAAGCAAAGCTGTAATCAAGATTTTCAAGTGAAATACTTTTTGGTAACTAAGAATGAAAACATTTCTTGTCCTATAATTTTTCTCTGAAGCCTTATACAGTAGAGATTTCTATCTGGCAACATCTTTTTTTTATTTCTAAAAGTGTTTTGGCTGGTTTGAAAATTGGACTTTACTTTATATTACATAACGGAAATACAAAGAATATACAAAGGTAGAAACCCCAATATTAAGTGGTATTTGTTCTTTCAGGCAACTCTGCAGGATTTGGAACAGAGGCGCCCCCAGTTGGAAGAACTCATTACTGCTGCCCAGAATTTGAAAAATAAAACCAGCAATCAAGAAGCTAGAACAGTCATTACGGAACGAAGTAAGTCTTTTATCAGGTGTGGGAAATTCAAGACCACATCCATGAAAAATTTCAATAACAAATTAAGTGGATATACTGCCATCGCACTTATTTATGAAAAGAGTGTACGATCATTGTAAAGGAAAACTGTTAAACTGAGTGAAACTTCCAGCTCATAACATTAGCTTTCAGTAACTGAATATGAACTCCACACATTAGAGGAGCTATAGCGTTAAGAGCATAGCATGGTGGCTGTGGTGGTGACTGGTTATCTGTTTGGACTAGCGCCGTGTAGGTGCCAGTCTTCCAGCAGGCTGCAGTTTCTCAAAAGTTTCAGACCTGTCTGTTGTGGTACTTGCAGACAGTACAAGTCTCTTTTGTCACTTTGATGCCCCCTCTGCACATTTTATAACAATAAAAATCAAAGCACGTGAGGCATGGTGGCACACACCTGTCATTCCAGCTTTCTACAAGGCTGCTGCAGGAAGAGTGCCAGTTCAAGCCAATCCTGGGCAACTTAAGGAGACGCTGCCTCCAAATAAAAATAAATAAATAAATAAAAACGGGCTGGAAATACAGCTTAGTGCCAAGGCTCTGGGTTCAGCCCTCAGTACAAGAGGAAAAACACAACTCTTTGTACCATAGTGGGGTGGGCAGAAACTCAGGGGAACTGTGTGAGTCCCAACTGCTTACTCATCACACCTCCTTTTTCTCCCTTTTGTGGAATGTTTTGGGGTGACTGTGGTGTCAGTGGCTGTGCAAAGGTTCAATAAGACAAGGAGAAGATCAGAAAACCTCTTCCCATCCCACTTTTCTTAGCTTCCTCAGGCATGAGGTTCGGATACCCTCTACTATTGGTTCTCTGCTATCTCTCTGGGTTTTCTCCCTTCCCTCTACCTGCTTTCCCTCTAGGGATACCACCTATCACTACTCAGTTTTCAGACTCTGCATGTACTACCTCCTCTTTACCTTTCCCCAACCAGAGAAATATTTCTAGTGCATGAGTAGGGAAAACCTACTAGAATCATGGTTTTCTTCCATGTATTTCATCTTATACATAGCCTAGGATTTTATCTACATAGCTACATCATTTTAATTTACTTTATGTTCCATAAACCTTTCCTTAAGGAAGTAGAGGCATAATACCTGGCTGCCAATAAGGTGGAGTTGGGGAAAAAGTAACCAGAATGAAAGAATAATGCCTGAAAAATATTATTAGTCATTCTTATGTGAATAAGTAAATACTTAATGATACTAGCTTTTCATTGAGTACCTTGTAATTATCAGGTGTTATATACATGTATAGATGGCAAGTCTACAGGATCCTGTAAATTCAATTCATAGATTACTAAACAGTTTTCACAAAATTAACAGAACTGCTTAAGCATAAAAATTAGGGAGCAGAACTCAGAATTTATAAAATTCTGATTTGAAGGTATACGCTCGTTTTAGTATGTTTGCTGCTTCCTGTTTTGTTTTGTTGCTTTTGTTAATGACCTTAATAACTACAACTAATACTTTTTGGTCTGCAATTATATATATTTAGATTCTATTTTAAAAGACTTTTCCTTTTTCACTATAGTGGTTATTAAGTAAAATAGGCTGATTTCAGTTTTCAAAATTTAGTTTTCGTTGTTCAAGCAAAATGAATTTGGACATAATATATTGGCTGAGCAACATAGACGCAGGATAACACCATAAGCTCCCAAGCTTTGGTGGTTCACTGCAGTAGAAGTTTATTGTTTTGCTGTTCTGAAACATTCCAGAATTATTATAGTCTTATTCTGGGACCCAATCTTGTTACATCTTTTTTTATCTAGAACAACTGCATTTAATGAGCAGATGAGAAATGAGTGTTGTTCATGCAAATTTGTCGTGAACCACACCTGGAAGTGATATGCATTAATTTTGTTCATAATCTGTTTGCTTACTGGAAACTGTCACATAGCCACATCTAATGGGGATGTGGGAATAATATTGTCTAATGTTGTAATTGTCTAATATTGAACTGAAAAAGAAGGAGAGATTTGGGGGAAAATAATCAATTGGTCAAAATGGATCTGTGGAAATTGTAAAATGTGATAGACAAGCAACCAACATACATAGATGTGTAATTGATAGATCAGAGTGTTAATCTCTCCAACTAGAACAATGAGAAGTTTCTATCAGGTTGCAACACATGGGCACGAAACAATGAATCTTAATGAATAATTTACTCCGTGAGAGACTGAATTCCTATTCCATAGGTAAGCGATCTGTTTCTTGCCTAGAAAATATCAAAATTTGGCAAAAATGTTGATGTGAGTCTGAACATTCTATATAGTAAATCATTCATTATTTGTCTAATGAAAACTGCCTTCTTTTCCCTAAGAGGAAAATAACATAACTAAATTTTACAGTATCTGTCAACATTGTATAAATACTTTCCTTTGTCTTTCACATTTTTTTATATTGCATTGACTTCTTTCATGGTGTAGATTACAGTTGCATGACTAGAGGGCAAATTTGTGCTTCTCTACTAATATCCAGTGATTTGAATAATTCTGTGTTTTCTCTTTTAGGAATAATTTTATCTTTTAGGAATGATGCCATCATGAATATTTGTAGGATAATGGAAAGATTATAATCCCAATGGTCCAAAGAAACATTAATTTAAAAGCAAATAAATGTCTGCTGTAATGCTGCATGTTGCTTATGAAATGCCTAAGCTGTAATGTTAGGTCCAAACACGCCTGGAGTTGCTAATGCTGGTGCTAGGATAATTCTGACAAGATATGTTTATCCAAACGATGTCATTTTGAGCTCTGCTGTGTTTCAGTTTATCTCTCCATTTGAAGTCTATAAAATGGGATGGAAACTCGATGCTCATAAAGTTTCAATAATATTCCAAGTAAAGATTTCTTAGTGTAGATTTTGGTTTGCAGAGGAAGGGAAGAAATGAAATACTTGCTCAAAAAACATATTTTCCCATTTTACAGCATTCTTCCTTTTTTATTGCTCTGAACTTTGTAGAAAGACTTACAAAGAAATCAGCTAAATAAAAATATTTAATATGTGTCTATATTGAAACTTTTTTCCTTTGTGCAAGTCCCAGTTTATAACTTTGAACAGTTTGGGAAATCTATACATAGTTATTACATTCTATCAAGAGACAAGTCCAGTAAAATAGCAATTTTGTGCTATTAGTAATATTCACACTAAAACTCAAATAATTAGTTTTGTAAAATACCAAACTTTTTCAGCCTACAAAACTACTTCAATGCTATATGTTATGTTCAGCTAATTATATTGATCAAAATCATGTTATAATCTGGGCATAAGACAAAATTTTATTCTACTCAAGTTCACCTGATAAATTTTCCTTGATATTTTCTGATGTTCATATTTCATTTCTCTCTCTCTCTTTCGCTCTCTCTTTCTCTCTTTCTTTCTTTCTTTCTTTCTTTCTTTTTTTTCTGAACTGGAGATTGAACTCAGGCCCTTGCGCATGTCAGGGAAGTGCTTATTCCACTGAGCCATCTCCCCAGCCCCAAGATGTTCATATTTCTTATTTTTCTTTACCACTTTGGTTGTCAAACATTTCTTTTTTTTCTGCAAATGGGCTGGGTCAAGAGACTGAAAAAAATTAAGAATAATTTAAATTTGCTTCCTTAAAACTGTCCAGATCATGCAAAACTCTTATTCACGTCCATTAATACTTCAAAGAATAATGCCATAATGCCTTGAGGAGGATATGGAAGAATAGAACATTCTTTTATTACACTGTTTATTTCATAAACAGTATTAGTAATTGTGAATTTTCACATATTTGTATTTAAGAACCTTGCTACTGTAGCCTTTCTTTTCATAATCCCCACATTACCACTTAAAATACACATAGTAGTAGCATATGTAGTTTTTTTTTTTTTTTTTTTTTTGAATCGGGGATTGAACTCAGGCCCTTGAGCTTGCCAGACAAGCGCTTATTCTACTGAGCTATCTCCCTGGCCCTGCCTATGTAGTTTTTGAAAGCAGGCTTCCTGGACTGACCTTCCAGTTTTGCAATTGTGAATAAATGACTAATCTCAATACAGTATCTGATCTCAGCTTCCTTCTGTATGATGTATGACCACTTGTACTTCCCTCTAGGGTTGGAAGAGTTGGATAAGGATACTGATCAGGGCCATAGAAGCTGAATGAGTGTTAGTTCTTATTTTAGCTGGCATATATTTGCATGCTTCAAATCCATATTTGTAAAGAATTTAATGAGCTTTTTGTTAGCAATTTGATTATTTCCTCACCAAAGCTGCTGTGGGGGTAGGACTTCAAAAGACCAAAAGAAGATTGTTTTGGAAAAGATGGAGTAAGGTATACATGCAGCATTCATCGAATGCTTGGAAAAGACATTGAGTCAGCAAGAAAATTCATTTAAGTTACTTCATTTTCAATACCCATTAAAATTTAGGAGGTAGGTGCTGCTATTACAACTTTAGAGATAGAAAACGAGCTCAGAGAACACAAGTAATTGAAGGTCTTAGCAAGATGGCAATTGAGGGACTGAATTGAAACCTACATCTATATGATTTTAAGGCCTGAAACTCGTCAAGTGGAAAACGATTGTCAATCACCACAAATGGCCAAAGCCACTTTGAAAATGTAGATATTTGTAAAGTTGATATCATAAGCTATTTAATAATGAGACAGTAGATATTTTTGATACTTAGTGTGAATATAGTAAACCCTACGAGTGTTTAATATGATATCCATAGTCTTACTCAACTTTTGATATTTTCCAAAATAGTCTGAAAATATTATGCATTTAGTGAGTGGTTAAATTTATTTGTAGAAATATTAAAATTTTTGTGTGAGATATTTTGTTAAAGTGCTACTTTAAAATTGTAAAATATAGAGCAATAGAACAATATATGCTTTAAACTAAAAAAAAAAAAAGAACTAGGAAGGAGACTGGAGAGATAGCTCAGTGGCATAAGTGCCTGCCTCACAAATGCAAGGTCCTGAGTTTGATCACTGGTACTGAAAA